CGGTTGGTGACAGACTCTCCCTCAAACCAGCATATGTTGCAAAATAGGATTGAGAAATGAATGAACGTGCTGGCCTACTGTCCTATGTTCGCACCTCACTCAGTAGCCGCGCGGGTTTTTCTGTTCACACCCTGGAGTGTGCCCAAAAGCTCGTTCTTAGTCTTAGACATTCATCCTGAAATGTGGAGGCTGTGGTGATTTGGAGGGTGCCAAAAGGCTATCCAGTTAGAGGGCGGAAACACCAGGAGTTTCATGTCTCTCCAGCTTAATTGCCCAAAGTGAAAGTCTGGCAATTCAAGTTCAAGCGATGGCTGAACTTTACATGAAATTATATACATTCTTGTTCACCCCACTTGCTTCCGCTCTCTCGAACATTCAACATGGCTTTGCAAACGCGGATCTCTATGACTCTATACTCTACAGCAGTTCACTATCCACACTTCCAATTGACAGGACACCCCAGCATCCCGTAGCCCAAAGCCATCAACAAAAATACAACGAGTGCCTTGCGGGATATACATGGATTTACAAATATACACATCAATGATGTAAGAACCGATTGGACTGCCACCTACCCGCCCGATTTCGGACGGTGTAGTCCCTGGCCCCACCGTGGGAACAGCAACTGGAGTCTGCAAGACACTCCAAGATGCAGCAAGAGAGGGGAGGAAGCTGATTTCGGAAGACCATGATCCGTCCCTCCACATCGATTTCTGTCATTCTTCCCAATGAGTCTGGGCAAAATGGGCCCAGGAGATGCCTCTAAGTTCTCTGTTGAAATTCAGTCAAGGAAGCATGTCGTTCACTGTTAGGATTGGATTCGATCTTCGTTTGATCTGCCAACTTCAACTGGAACCCGTATACGTGTGTATCGTGTGAATTAAATAGTGAGACCTTCCAGGCAGGTCTAACTCCCTGCGGAAATGGACCAGTCTACCGCAATGGCTCCAACCGAGTCACCGCTCCCAAAACCGCCCAGTCTGACCGCTCAACGTCCGATCGAACTCGAATTTGTAACGTGGACGTACGTGTCCACCATCCACGTGTTTAGGGTTACTGTGTCCACCCAAATGTGTCTACCATCCATATTTGCGGATTTTTTGTTGCTTCGATGAATCAAATCAGCTTCCAGGGGCAGAGCCATGTTCTTCTCTGGACATCTGCCCGAAACCAATGACTTTGAAATAGAACGGGGGCCAGCCGGACACGACTGTCAGGCTGCCCCAACGAGGCACGCCACAGTCAGTCAACCTCCAGTCGAACGCCACAAAGTAATGGAACAAAGGAACTGGATGGAACTGGCATAAGTCATATAAGTGGTTGTTTTGGCTGACTCATGATGCAAGAATGGCCCACATGCCTCACAGCTAAAACAACACGTGCCTTGTTCTTCCTTCGCATCCTTGGGAACTTGCTAATGGAGGTGCCTGTTTTGGGGTAGACTGGGCACGCCGAAAACATGCCTCGGGACGAGACATGATCTCGAAACCACTGGTCGAAACGCCTCAAAATTGACGCCCCCGTGTCGAACTCAAGCTTCCATCCTTTTTGCCTGGTCCTGGCTGCCAGGGGTTAGGAGCAGCCGGGACCTTCTTCATGTCGAGGATATTCGCGACAAAATAGGACCAGCTTCGAGAAGGCGGTTTTGGGGCACAACCTAGCAACGTCTCAGGGCGTACCATTTTCACCCATCTTCCTCGCCCAGTGTTGCTGCACTGCCGACTGCCAAGTGCTTCTTTAAATAGTAATCATCCGAACAGCTCTTGGAGATCATTGGGAATACCAGCCCAAAAGGTGGACAAATCCGGACCTCGGGCCCATGCCCTCCACGTCGTTCACGCTTCGGAAGTCAATCGATGCCACACGGGACCACAAGAAGGTCGGTTTGGCCGTGTCCCGTGGAAAACAGCAGCTTCCGATGTGATTCGGTTTAAGCGGCTTCCGTATGTTTAAATTGCACATATAAAATGCATGTCCCTGCTGTTGGTTTTTGGGTGCAGAAATCACCCCGAATAGCACTGACCGGGTAGGTTGGCATGTTATTAGCGGCCCCTAATCCACACCCTCAACACTTTGGAATGGTTCTTTTTTCGCTGAACTCCGTAGTAGCACGGACAGTGATGCGACCTGCGTCTCAACACCCAAAAAAACATGAATAATGGTGAGATCTGACCTGATCCTGTCTAATTATATTATATATATATATTGTATGGGAAGATGTAACTCTAGAACTATCTCCACGAATCTTTTTGGGGGTCAAATGTCATGTTCAGGTCAGCTCTGGCCAGCCCCTCGGACTGCTGGAAGCTTGCGATCGCAGCAGGGAGACTGTTCCTTGCGTTTGTTCATGACATTTTGGCACCAAATCCACTGCAGCCGGTACAGCTGGGACCGAGACATCTGGAAACCCATTGACGCGACTGACCAATGCTGACCACCTCTTCACCAGGCCGGGTGGAATAAAATACCACACATGAACACAGCGGAAGTGGAGGACGAATGCACGTTGGTATAGCCGCCGGTTTGGGAGGATCTCCTAGTCTTATAGCAGTTGCGACGTTTCAGGAGTGTTCAGAACGGTGCAGCTGAAGCAAACATCAATCACGAAGAGTCATGGTGTGGGGCTGTCGTTTTAGGCCAGCGAACAGGTCACCATCGGTCACTGCCGGTCACCCCGAACGAGATTTTCACACACCGAACGTTTCACATCCAACATGTCCAACATGTCCCGGTCTAGAATCTGTAGACATGCAAGATACATCAAAGTAAGAAGCCATCGCTACGTCACGTTCGGGCATCGCTACGAACGTAGCAAGAAGCGTTGATGATTTACCTGAGAAGCAAGGATACCCAGTGGCTGAACACCCGTCCGCACCTGACAGGTCACCAGGACCCCTGCCGAACCCAATACTCTTTTTTCGAGGCGCCCAAGAGGCAACCGCCGAAAGGGGCGGGCACATGGGCGAAAAAGACCTGGTTCCTGTGGTCAGTTCGCTGATGCCTACGGGTTCGCACCGGAGGCACCAAAGACCCACTGGAAGAGGAAAAAAGCACCAGAAACGTCCATTGCTTGCGGGGTACGCATCCATCAAATCCTGGTAGATCTCCAACGGCACATATCAATGCAACATGTACCATCCATCTTTTCGCTGCTCAGAAAATCCGGTGCCAAAATCGCTCGAAACAGTTCCGTTTCCTCAGTGCAGGCCCAGCCCGTGAAGATCGAAACTCGCAAAGCTTCTGCCGATCAGGGCCTACCAGCTTCTTGTCACAAGAAATACAAAGAGATACAAAGAGGGCAATGCACAAATAATTACGGGCATAAAATAAGGCATAATATATATATATAGTTGTATATATATATATACAAGCCAGGGAAGTCCAAAAAAAATTTTCGGGACATTCCCTTTTGTCATCATCTAAAGACCATGAAACAAATTGTCGTGGACCTCCAGGGCAAAATGTTGGAGGTAGCAGGGTGAGGCGGTTGACCGTGTCTAATCTGAAGGGTTCACTGTTGGGGATCTCACTGAGCCACCTTGTTTGGGAGATGTCCAGGTCCATATCTGCAAAACAAGTCAACCGGTGAGAGAAAGAGCAGTAGAGTTAGTCGTTGACACTCTTGAGATCTTTATATAAAGCATTATACAAAAGCATGTCATGAAGAAAGTGCGCCTGCGCAGCCTGCGGCTGATACACAGGCGGTATTGAACTTTTCCCGCCTGGAACAAACCCACTTCGACCTCGAAGTCTTGTTTTTTGTAACGCAGCTTGCGCCGCAGCGGCCAAGGCTGCGCTTCTGAACAGAACACATCTTGCCTAAACAAAAACTACCTAAAGGTTAAAGGCTCATTCATAACAAATTAGGCGATACTGGTCACCGACATATAGCCATAAGCAGGCCAACTACTTGATGAATAACCGTTTCTGGCATGGTCAGAAGTCAGAATCATAATATAATGAATCATCAAATTGTAAGAACCATCTTCCGGAAGTGATGGCTTGATCTCTTGGAAGCTGGCAGGTGTTCTGGTGCTCATCAAAGTCACTCTTCATGAAGTGTTGTCACACGAGGTTGACTGACAAGATGACAAGGCATACCCTCAGGTTCCCCCAAGTCCTTTGTGGTATACATATATTTTATATATATGTGTGCGTGTGTTTTACTAATAATAAACCTCCAGCCAATTTGATAAATTTCCTTGGAAGGTAGTTAGGCACCTCTTAGACTTCACCTCCACCTTGGCAAGTGACGTGGACGACTCAAACGGTGCGCAGGCTGTATGTATTTTCAATTGCTGTTCAGTTGCTAAGTCCGAAAAAACACATCTTGATCCAAACAACCACAGTAAGATTGACAAACAAAAGACCATCTCTGATCATGAATCGTTGGGCATCGACGAAGCTAAGGCCGAACCCCAAACACACGATGACTTGGCCGGTGATGCACGTGCTGACGATTGAACTTGACAGCAGAACCAACCCCTTCGTTGGCACAACATGCAGCAGGTCGGGTCAGCTATGCACAATAAGAAGATGTGTCTATTTCAATACAGTGTAGGATGAACAAAGATAAGCTCTACCCTGCTCCAAAAACGCTCATGGTCTCGGAAAGGGTCGCCCAAGGAAATAAAATCAAAAGAACACAATTATATCTTGGATAAATGATCTTGGAATTGGAATGCACACCTGCAACAGCTGCATATAAAGAATTGGTCGGCTTAGGCCTAGGTGCACTGGGCTGTTATGAGTGAATGGAGGGTCTCCAAATTCTAAATCTGATATATATATTTTTTTTTGTTTGGTTTTAAATTTATTATAAATATATGTTTTTGTTTAATGTAAAATAATATATATATATATCGTTATATGGATACAGTATATATATATTATATTATATAGTGATATTGCCTGACGACTTGCCTGACGGTACTGTTTGTATCTGGTTTAGGAGGCATGAACAGCAAACTGATCAGAATGGGTTCTAATTTAAGTTCGGACCAACTTCTTGGGAGACTCCTTCTTTCCAAAAACAGCTCGAGCAGGATGACAAACACCTCATGACTCATGAGTTGCTCAGTGATCTGAAGACGATCCACTTTTGCTTCGAGATCTTCGAGTCAAGTCCTGCAGAAAGCAGCATCCAAGCCGACGAGAGCCAGCAGTCGACTGGCATCTGGACAACAAGCAAAACCCAAGCCTAGTCGACATTGGCAGGAGCCAAGGGATTGAACAAACCAAGTGCACCACGAAATGTGAGATGACCATCAACCATTGTGAGAAACCCATACATTCAAACCTTGGGTCATGGTACCCTGTACGAAGTCCTCCTTGACCCGTTGACCCCCAAGTACCCTTTGTTTCTCCCATCTGCTGATAGGACGACCTCTGAAGACTGGCAACATGTCTGCAACCCACCCCACCCACACACAGTCACACCCCTGCACGAACCCGTTCTTCTAACCCTTCGGGCCCCAAAGGGTGGGTTTTTGTTGAGGGTCTTCATCTGTGTCACAAAAGGGTCCCCCAAGTGTGTTAGATCCAAAAACTCGGCCATGGCCACATCGTCACAAGGGAGTTTGACAGAGTTTGCCGCATCGTTTGAGCGACGGCCAAAGCTTACAAGCGGAAACCATCAGCGGTGTCTCATTGTGAGTGGCTTGAGGAAAACAAGTTCTAGGGTCGGTAAGCTTTGGCACTTGGTAGTGAATGGCACGCATCCGGCTGTTGCTTACCAAACATTACTAGAGAGATATAGAGAGAGAGAGCAAAAGGATTGCCTTTCATCCAACCATTCGGTCATTCAACTCCCGCCAGTGACCAATCCAAAGGACGCAGTAGTATGACCAACAAAATCTACAGAAACAAGTATTCGATCTTGATGAACTCCTGTCTATACATTCTGCCACCTTTCTATCCAATTTTCGGATTTCTGGACTCCATGGCCCTCCTCGTGGGCTTTGGTTTCCAGCCGCTCCATCCCCCTTGCGTGGACCCACCCCCTTCGCAAAAACACTCGCGATCTTCGCGATCTTCGCGCGAGTGTTGACGGGCTCCTTCCGCTCAAGTCCGAGCTGCGAGTTGCAAAGTCCTCCCTGCGACGGACGGAATCCAATCGCGGGACATCTCCTCAGAGCGCTCGGAGCGCTCGGAGCGCTCAATCGGACCGGGAACCGCGGTGGTGCGCGGTTCCTACCGCGGTTCAGGTTGTTGGATGTTGGCGTTCGAAAGATCAGAACACTATGCAATATTCATTCTGTATAGATTGTATAGTATCAATAAGCAAGAATTGGCAAAGAAATGCACCCGACCATGGAATCATACCGTACCACATCTGATCCAAACTTGTTCATGGTAGCATTGTAGATATATTGTGGCCAACAATCCAGCTCCTTTCATGCTACGTCTTATGAGGTGTTGGCGACCAAAGCTGCCGACTCAGGCCGAGCGATGCCACCGGATCCACCGAGCAAAACCAGGCGATCCAATCCATGAGACCTCGGTGCCATTGTGGGTGCCCCCCTCCCAAAAGGGCAGGTCCCTGGCAGAAGCGTCAGCATGAGCTGGGCTTTCTTTTGACTGAACACCGCGCGTGATGGATCTGTGGATTTCGCCTTAGGAATCCAAAACCGAAACGACTCTTTTTTCGTTTCGCACATCTGTGAAGTTTTGAACCTCCAAATTGGTGCAAATGTGGGCTAGTGCACCCAGCAAGCATGCTGTGATATGCTGTGGTTTGAAGTTCGCAACACTTCCAAACTTGTCAAAATCTGCACGAAACACTCCCCCGGCCAACCGCGGTCTTCACATTGTCCACGGCGAGATGCAGCCTCCTCCACCCGGAACTCGTGTACGCCTAGCTGGGGGTGTTGGAAGCAGGAGCATTGGAGCGTTCTTTGGAGATGGGGTTGATTGAAAGAACCCAGGAACCTGTGGCAGTGCACAAGCCCCACCAAACTTTAGGGTCTATAGAGATTGAAAGGAAAGTTTGTTCCAGCACCATGAATCATATAGAATTGTAAAATCAATTAAAATCATATAAATCGGTCTCTGTGCGGGATCTCATGGGATCTTGCGGGTTGTTGGTGCTTCGTCAAATCAAACCGGTGGACTCCAGATTTCGAGCCAATGCCGGATCCACCGGACTGGGGAAAGGAGGTGGACGCAAGCATCATGCTTCAAGAGTCATTCTCGGACACGTCAGTCAATACTATTCCGCAAGGTTTTCCCGGTTTTTCCAGGCGTACATCACCGGTCGGGTACCCCAGGTACACAAATGTTTCAGTGTGAAATTGATGGACTTTGGACTTGGCGCCCGAAAACAACCAATAGCTTCTGAGGTGTGCTTAGAACTTTCTCTACTGAGCAAGGCAGTGCATTCTGAACTCGCTTGGCAACCAGGGAGTCCAAGTTTGAAAAATGATCGCACGTCTTTGACCTGATATATGACCACCACAACTGGGGGCCTGACGTTGCAGGACGTTGCGTGTCAAACCCCTCTAGTCCACTGTCACTCCCTCCCCCGAAGCCCCCGGGGATCACCCATCGCGTGAGACGCCGCCCGGTTCGGTTCTGGTAAGAGCGGTGTTGAAACCGAAGCCGAACCTGCGAGTAGACAAGCTCCATCCCTCAACTCCTCGGGAGTTGATGCGGAAAGCTTCAACTTCCTCAGGGTCTACCAAAAACAAACTGAAGCCTCCATGGCCAAAAGCCCTTGAGGGGAGTTTCTCGCAGTCCACAAATTGCCTTGGCTGAGAATGGTTGACTATTCTGATTTATTCTGCAGGATGCTGATCAATTCTGCTTGGAAGCGGGCCATGACCTCTTTTGATCCTTTTGACATGCCCCATCTTTCTGTCAACACACCTCCCAAATCATCACAAACCTGCAAATTGTCCCTAATCTGATGATGGCTCACGTTTGGAACCGCAACTCCGGTGCCAAGCCAATGGGACCGGTGTGGGACCAGTCTGCACAAGTTCACGGCGAGTGAGATGTAGTTTGAACGGGGAATGCTCCAGTAGCGTCAAACTTTGCTCAATCCGTCCTGCAAAAAACCATGGAATCTCAACGCGATCTTCCCCCAAATTTGGACCAAAACATACCAATAACAATCCAAAACAAATACTTCGATCTATAATAGATGTAATTGTATACTGTATAGTGCTTTTGAAGACGACTGACCGCCAACATGGTTTCACTGGGTCGGCCCCGGGTCCCGGTTCACGCGCTGTTTTGCGGCACTCCTGTGGCTGTGATGGCTCCAGCACCTCGGAGAGGTCATACAGCCCCCCGCGCGCCGTCGAAAATCGAAGAAAACACCCGGTGCTTGAGACCCACATGGTGTTCCACATGGAACTTGAACATATGGACCATCATGGACCTTTGGAAGACTACTTTCCTCTACAACCCAGCGGTTTTCAGGTTCCATGTTAATCTTCCATGGGCGTCACTCTCTCAGTTTGCTTTGGACTGTGTCTTCACCTGCCACCACCATTGGTGGTGTCACCGATGTCACCCATTCCCTCGCTCCCCTCGCTAAACCGCTTTGGGCTTTGGGTCATTCACCCGTCCGTCGAAACCATCTCACCAGTGATTCTCCAGCCCAACAAGCTTCGTGCGCCCCACAGTAAGATGAGGAGGAATGTCCTTCTGAAAGCTTTCAATTTCCTTGCAGTGATCTATATCCGCCGACCCCGGCCTATAGCCAAAGCCTAGGCGGGGAGGCGCCTGGGACACCGCAGGGTGAAGCAGTTGGCCAAGCCTAGCAGAACCCTTCAAGCACTTCCAAAGGCGCAGGATGCAGCAGTTGGCCAAGCCTAGCAGAACCCTTCCAAGCACTTCCAAAGGCCTGTCCGAGGCCTCACCTGTTGCGGCCTCTCTGTGGCCTGTCCGAAGCCTGCCTCCTCTCTTCTTATCAGCTTCCGAAGGCGACGTTTAGGCATTTTGGACCGCCTTCAAAAGCTTTTCGGCCTCTTGCGGCCTCTCTGTGGCTTGTCCGAAGCTTCTCGGCAGCCGGCAGGCCTCTTGCGGCCTCTCTGTGGCCTGTCCGAAGCCTGCCTCCTCTCTTCTTATGGGCTTCCGAAGGCAACGTTAGGCATTTTGGACCGGCTTCAAAAGCCTCTCGGCGGCCGGCAGGCCTCTTGCGGCCTCTCTGTGGCCTGTCCGAAGCCTGCC